CAGGCACTCAAAGGCAGTAAATCACAGCTCTGTTATTAGGAAGTCTAACAAACGTTCCAGTCCATCCCAGTTGTGGTGATATAGGGCAGACGCAGGGTTCACATGAGACACAGCAGTCAATACCATTAAAACCCATATTGGTTACCTATTGGCTCTTTCTGATTTAGATTATAGCTGCTGAGGAGGAGTATGGTGGCATAGAGGCGCCGCTGTAACTGCCGTATTCTGCCAGTAACTGCCGTGACGGATATCCAGCACGATATCCATTATCGTGTTAAAGGCCCTTTTTCATTGTCTCCAATGTGTTAAAGACAACCGAGTCCATGCATCTGAACAGAATATGTTACAATACTTTGAAGGGGCGGTTTAACAGCAGAAGTTGCAGCTTTTTAAAAATGAGTCATTTCACGACACAAACCGTAAACTGTGACACGAGTGCATCTTTAAAAAGTAAAATAAAAAAAGAAGAAGCGAAGAAAAGAAAAGAAATACACTTACCCATAAAAGTCAAGAGGTTGGGAAACACAGCGACAGTTTTGAATTGTTAACAAAGCTTAGATGTTTCTTAATACTAGTTAATGTTCTGATGAATGTCTCATAACACAGAACTCAAAATGTATGATAAAAAAACAACAATCTGACATCCCTTTTCTTTTCCTGAAAATCATCCTTATTTAGAGAGTTTTTCTTAACTGCTGGGGATAACTAAATGTTCCCCATGTTAACAGTCCTCTGGGCTGTGTTGATACAACCTCCGGCAACGTAATCAGTAACAATGCGACAAGTGGACAGCACCGCTAAAGACAGGAGAGCAAACTTTATTTTTCGAGCCTCGGAGTGCTGATGGTCGGTCATCTATGTGTGTGTGTCTATGTGTGTCTGTGTGTGTGTGTGTGTGTGTGTGTGTGTGTGTGTTCTTTACTGCACGTTTCCATACGACGGGGTTGGGGGTTGAGGGTTGAGGGTTGGGGTGGGGGGGAGGGTCAAATTCGAGTCAGTTGATGCCAAAAACTGGACGGCATGAAGCTTTCCATCTTGTCTGCGAAGAACCCCAGGGGGGCGAAGAGGGTGCTGAAGAACTGAGGAGGGAAACCAACAGTCAGTTGTCAGTCGTCAGACAATCACTCCTTGAGTGTAACACGTACTGAAACAAGACCAATTAGACTAGAGAGGTCAGAGGTCAGTCTAAAGCATTGCATCATTTCCCTACCCAACTTTTATTTTTCAATTTCACCAAGTGTTGTTGATGCAGAGTCAGTAAATGAGGTGGTGGAGCATAAGGATTGGTTGCCGAGACCCCCCCGCCCCCCCGAGGGGCCTCCTACAAAACAACTCTGAGCTGGCCAGCTATCATACTACTTGTGAATACACACACACACACACACACACACACACACACACACACACACACACACACACTTTCAACTCAAATACTTCCTTTCAGTGTAAACAGGGTTTTAATGCAACCATGAGAAGGAACATTTCGCGAGACAGGCAGGATGTCTATTGGGGGAGATGCTGGCTATTTGGATTGACTAAATTGTGGCTTAGGGTGAGATTAAAGTTATTCAATTGAGAGGAGGCATAGCAGATGTCACATGCACCTGCATTCACATGCACCTGCATTAAAACTCGGCTCGCCGAACTGTCAAACACGCCCGGATATCTGAGTGGACGTGGGACCTCAAGACCCCTGATATTATTATCCTGATGTTATCCCGATAAATAAATGAACTACACAAACAATGATGACAAACTCCATGTCTTTTGGGAGGTAAATAAAGAAAACAGAGGGCTCCTAAAGCAACCACGCCTGCCTCCCTGTCACACTGCTTTTTCTCAGAAAGCAGCGAGTGCCTCCCCGTTCCTCCCTCTCTCTCTCTCTCTCCCCCTCTCTCTCTCCCCCTCTCTCTCTCCCTCTCTCTCTCTCTCAGCATTACACAAACCAGGCTCACTCGGCCCGCTGTAAAAACCCTATTTACGCTCGGCCTTTCCCATAACAAAGGAGGATGAACACTCGACACGGACGTGCGTTTGCTGTGGCTACAAGACAGAGTAAAGGAAGAGCCTAATAAACAGGGGAGGTCATAAACAAAGAATTAGTCAAAGGGTCAGGCGAGCTAAAAAAAAATGATAGTGCAGGGCTGCTTAAAAAAAAACAAAAAAAACACTTAAAACTAAGAAGAAAAAAAGAAGTCAGGCACACGTTGTGGTGTTTAGCAATAGTGATAAGGCTGTAAATGCACTGCGGTAAGCCATGACTGAGTTGGACTGCATCTTGTTTTTGGAGGGAAACACAGACTTCGCGGGCCTACGACTCCCATGAGCCTCTTGGGTCACTGACAGTGATAAAAGACAGCGGTTAACACTAGGGTTAAAGTGTTTAGGTTTCACTAGATTAATAACATTCATACAAAACAATGATAGCCTTCACCCCCAAAAAAAAGAGATAATCTTAAGTTTAACGACCGTGCTAACCTTCCAGAATAAATGGAAGTATTTTTAAACTTAGGCGCGCCGTTTTACATTTTTTTAAAAAGCACATCCGTTAGAAACAGCAATGTGTGAAAACTAATTAAAAGATCCCCCGAGAGTCAACAGGGATATAAATAGTGGCTATGAAAAAACAACACAAAGCTATTGGTGCCATGTTAGCCAGATGTAAGGACAGACCAGCAATCAACAACACACTTTCATCTGGTGGCCAGAGGGGCCACTGACGTCCTGCCATCCTGTTCACATTAAAGTACAAGAAAAAGAAAATGGGAGAAAAAACTAAAACATATGAGAGGAGAGCTAGAATAGCAGCCGTTTTACTTACTGCTTTGGCAAAGACGCCCATGAGCTCAGGGAACTGGTGTGTGAGCATGGCCAGCATGGCAGTGAAGGAGCAGAGGCCTGCTGTGAAGAGGATGAAGAAAGGAAGCTCTTTCTTTGGATACACAGAAACCTCGTGGAACGCTGCCGGAGGAAAGGAGGAGGACAGAGGGAACGGATGGAGAAGAATAGGAGATCGATGTTAGGAAGCAAAGTCCTGTAAAGGTATTGACACATGGTATTCGTTCACGATTTCCTGAAGGAACACTTGAGATGTGAATAGACGGCAGGCAAGACGTTGTACTCACAGGGTAGCAGTTCTCTATCTGCTGTCTCTGTGCATCCTGGGTAAGGATAAAACAAGTGACCCTTCTCCAGAGGGTAGGGAATTATCCTGAAGGCTGGAGGACCAGGACAGAACAAAGCTTCAAAACAGAGCAAAACAAGTACTTTTAACATTTACCAGAGAGAGAAAGAAAAATATAGGAACCAGTTCATTAGTGGGTAGGATATAAATAGGAAATAATGACATCATGGTAATTGAAAAAAAACAAAAAAACAAAAACAAAATAAATTCACAGATATGATTAATTTGTTGGGTATTTGTAGTTGTTTTGCCGCATAGCTCTCACCCGTTTATCTTAATCAATGCCGGTTCATTGTAAAAAGTCATTGTTATATTTGCCTGTATTTTCTCAATTTGTCTGTATTGTTTTGTTTTGTTTGTAAATGTGTGATGCTGCAAAACAGGTCTCACTTGAAAAATAGGTGCTTAGCCTCAAATTAGTTTTAACCTGTATAAATAAAGCTCAAATAAATAAATGAATAAATACATACATAAATAAATAAATAAATAAAAGTGAACTAAACTTCTGCACAGGATGGTTGCGTGCATGTAATAGCGTTAAGTTTAGTTTATACGTTTATTTAACAGGGGCCATGCACAACACAACCGTTGGGTAAGAGTTAGCTATATAGCTCATTTACATCTGCAGTCCCTGGTCAGGAAGATATTAAAAAAAACAATACAGTACAATACAAACATTTAAAAACAATACAATTAGCAAAATGTACAAACAGTACATCACATATAAAACAACGTCAAACAAAATATACATGACAGTCTCCATGTTGGAAAACAGTTGGTTCCACACAAAGGTTTAGTGACCACATGATTGTTTTGTCTTGAGCCACGTTTTAATTGTTGTTGTAAAATACTGAAGCTTATCCGATGTGGGTGGGAATTGAGTTCATCTGCTGCTCTGACTGAAAATGCAGATTGTCCAAAAGCAGTTTTCCTAAATTTAGATGAGCAGTCGTTTGAATGATGCCCTGGTCTCCCTAGCATTATCCCTGCAGGATGACACAGATTGTTTAAGTGATGGTGGTGCAAGATCCCAAACTAATTTAAACATCAGGCACATATCTGCAAAACAAAGAAAACAAAGGTCAAAGGTCAATAAAGCTTGTGTGTTACGTACTGCCCTCCCAGGTGCAGTGCAGTAGGTTTAAGGCCCCCTCCGCTCTCTTCCAGTGCTGCAGGTGGAAGAAGGCGTACGCCACCGCCTCGCTGTCGCCCCTCTTTAAGATGTGTTCTGGTGGCAGGATCAGACTCTTCATCTCCAACAAGTACTGCAACACAGCAAGAGACCACACACACACACACACACACACACACACACACACACACACACACACACACACACACACACACACACACACACACACACACACACACACACACACACACACACACACACACAATGAACCTTTAAAAACAACATATACAAGGTACTCTAAAGCTGCTGTACGTAAGATTTAAGAGCTATTATTTGAGTGTAATTTGTTAGAAATGCCATAGCCATCTGTCAGCTATTACTCAGAGAAATGTGCTTGGATAATATCTGTTTTGTGTTGACCGGGCCTGCCTCTGTATGAGCCAATTTCTGACCAATCAGGGCATATCTACCGATTGGTTCGGGAATCCATCAATGCCCGTCCACCAGAGGTGTGTGAAATGAAACATTTCTCAATGGCGGAGAAACATAGAGGGAGGGAGAACACTTGCTATCAAAAAATGTCATAGTAATAATGATAATAACATATACCATTTGGTGGACGGCGCTTTTATCCAAAGCTTTATCAATATCAATACCATGAGTAAATGCATTTCTTAGCGAAGCTGGCTGCAGTGGGAATCAAACCCCTAACCCTGGCAGTGTCAACGCCATGCTCTACCAAGTGAGCTACACAGACCAGAAATAAGCTTTAAATATAGCGAACAAAAAAAAAAAAAAAACATACAACATATAGATCTGGTTGGTATTCTGTACCCCAAACAAAAAAACAGTGTCATCAACCGCTTATTAAAATTCAATCTGACTCTATGCATAAGCAATGTGTTTTTGCACTCCATTTCCCAACTAACTATGTTCTTCTGAACAAGCAAAATGTCACCCTAAGTACTATATCCGATGGAATATACTGCGCAAGCAAATAACGTTATTGCATGCTGTGCAATAAAAAAACGTTGCTAAAAACATAATTGGGTGTCCTCCTGGTAAGTTGCATTCCACGAATGCACTAGGAGGGAGTGTGGTGGTTAAACCCAATAGGACCATTAGGAAATGAGGGTGGCATTGTGAAAAATGACATGGTTTGACCCGCCATGGGGGTTGGCACGCCGTCAACCACCCTGGAGTTCAACTATTCCTCCCGGCTCCAGGAAATCTGACCTCACTGCCGGTGGGCCTGCAGAAATCAATGAGTATCGTTCACTATTTCTCGGTATGAATCACCTCTCCATTCCCGGTTCCCAAGTCGCCACCTCATCCATTACATCCTGTTGTGCAACTCCCCACTTGCTAACTCCCGACAGACCACAAAAAAAACCAAAAAAAAAAACGTAATGTGAGGTATTTGTTAAGGGCCTTGTTTTGCAATTGTTCAATGTGGGAGGGAAAAGCTTTCCAAAGCTCTCTTGTGTGTTATTGTTACAGTACAGCCCCTCCCTGCTGTGTAGGTCTGGCCCACCGAGTCGGTCATTCCTGTCAGTCCACCCACTATGCTGACAAATGCCCCTAAAACGTAGAGCTGTGATGTATAGAATGGGAGTGCCTTCAGCATGTTGGATAATGGCGATCTTGGCGAAGGATGAGAAAATGCTTGGATGCAATACGTTGTAATGCTTTTCCTCCATGACTTGTGTGTTGTAAAACGCTTGGTTCTGGACTTAAAGTGGGGTTGCCGCTCAGCATGCTTCTCAGACTCCTGACGCAGCCACTCTATGTGATGTATGTCTGTGTGGCCCAGTGTGACCAGGTTCTGTGTTGAACTAATCCAGTGTGTGGGCCCGAGGCCCCCGCTGGGCTAAATTCCCAGGCAGACAGCACCGCAGTGCTCTGGCTCTCAGACTGACACTTTGGGAAGGTTACCCCACAGATAATCCTCTCTAATCCCCTCCATGGTCACAGGCCCAGCCAGCCAGCCAGCCAAAAAGTCGGCCAGCCAGTCGGCAAGCGAGCAGTAACAGCGCTGTGACCGTGGACAGACAACCGGTCCAGACAGTCAGTCAAGCAGCGCGCTTTGAACCCGCTCATCCTAATTCCTTTCCTCCATGGTTCCCTTTTTTGCCACTCCAGGTAAGCGTGATCCTGTGCCCCTTGTGACTGTCCCTGAACACAGGCCATCACCCCGCTGGCCTGCTCCTCCTCCGCCTCCTCCGCCTCCTCCCCAGCATCATCGCCAACACTTTCAGTCATGGCCAGTCTGCCAAACCACTTGGCAATTCAAATCTGAGCTCCAGCCATGTATTTATTTATTTTTGTTCAAGTGTGCCTGTATTATTAATATTCTTCATGTGTTTGTACTATTCAATCAACGTCCCGTTTCCCCATGTCATAATGGCCTAATAATTATACCCCAGTATTATATATATATATATATATATATATATATATATATATATATATATGCCGTTTATTAGACGCTTTCATACAACGTGTCATACATTGTTATCATTGTTATCATTGGTTTTGAACACAGAGCCAACACAGAGCCAACACAGAGCCAAAATCCAAATGGTTGTACATCCTAAGTAACGTTAATATTTGGGGGTTGGTTGCACAAAGTGTCGACAAAGCTACACAATATGGTTGACACATATGGCCCAAATCCAGTTGATTGGGACATCCACTGCTGAAAATATATAAATAAAAGGTTTTGTGGCCGTATGATGAAAGGGAATTTTTTTGGAAATCCAGAGCAACAGTTTGTCGGTATTAATTCTTGCCATCTTTCCTCCTTCATTACAGTGGAGTACAGGTTTGAAGTTTCATCCTCTCACCATAAGTATGTCTCAGTCGCTTGACCCTGTGTCTGGTTTACTTTAAGATTAACCGTTTAGAGCGGGGCCACACAGGGCAGCTGTCCTCTATGGCATGCTGGACCTGGTGACACCTCAGCAGTCAGATCTGTCCCCCCCCCACCCGTCCTTTCTTTCTACTCGGTCCCTGTACTTCCCTGTACTCTGCTGCCGCTTTGATGAAAGGATTAGGTTTCATGTGTTCCTCTTTTATCCCGGGCCGGTCATAAGCCCAGGGCATAACTCATAAGCTGCCTTTTCATTCTAATCATGCAACGGTGACATAAGCCATGTCGTTCTTAAAGAGTCTGACTGGCTAACCCCTCCACACACACACACACACACACACACACACACACACACACACACACACACACACACACACACACACACACACACACACACACACACACACACACACACACACACACACACACACACACACACACACGATACGACTATACAAATACAGTAAGGCATTAGGACGGTTATCACACACAGTACAGACAATGCATTTTACACATGCATACAATTAGGACACTACTAGACACATACAGTACAGGTGTGGTGAGGGAGAAGAAGGTAGCGGAAACATTATCTCAAATACAGCTTGCAGAGAGACGACCAAATATGCACTTCTGGGCAGAACCACACCAAAACTACTTCTATGTCTCAGGAACAGGTTATGTTCCCGAGACATAAAGGAAGAAAAATAAAATCTGTAGGACAACGCAAGCAATGCTTAATAAGGAAATAAACCCTCTTCTACCTCGTCCCCGAGTCAAACCTCATCCATCTAAATTTAGACCGAAACACATGGCGTGCCATTTCGTCTCAATTTACGAACGAAAAAGCCAATTTGAGATCTGAAACCGAGCCACGGGGCTCGGCTCCTCGGCCCTGATAGGCTGCCCCCCCGATGAGAAGCTGTCACTGCAAATGGGGTGAGATGAGAAACCGCTTCCCCCGAATTGGAGCAAAGTAGTGGGCTAGATGGGCCCGTGTCGCCCGGGCGCCTGGAGAAACGTGCACCAAAGGACTCCATGCAAATGAAAAGCAGATTGAGGGGAGGCCCCACAACACTTGATCAGCCATGCGCGCATCAGGCACACTGTCAGCATCCTAACAAACTGACTGCTGGATGGCCTGATTGGAACGGACACATGGGAGAGAGGGAGAGGGGAGCGGAGGATAAGGGAGGGATGAAAAAGTAGAAAAGAATGAGGCAGAAAGGAAAGAAAGAAATAACAGATGAGGGACAAAAAGGAAAGAAGGTGACAAGGTGAAAAATACAAGGGAGTGAGGTAATGGGTGAGCGATAGCAACGACTTGGCATGGAGTTCAACCGAGTGTTTGCGTGTTTTTGTATGAGCGGCGCGCGCAGGTTTGTGCTCCCGCTCAGGTCTAGAGTTGACCGAGAGCGAGTAGTGGTGTAGTTTTACGAGACCAGGTGTGCAAAGTCAGGAACCGGTGACACGCGGCGCCACCCGTTCCTTGTCTAGTGGCTACAGTCCACTGCGCCCCGGCCCTCGGTGTTGACCTCCCTGTGGAAGTCACATACCATGGAGAAACCTGCTCATGTGAAGAATGATTCTGGAAAAAACGATACGTGTACAAATATGTGAGCGCTTTCAGCCCATTCCATATCTGGATAGTTATGCCAGAAGCCAAATAAAAAATTAACAGCTGAAGAATTTACTGACATGAATCACATCAAGTATGACGAATAGTAAAACAGTTCCAGTCTGAGGCTTGGCTCACTACACCAAGGTATAATTGCACATATATATATATATATATATTTTTTTTTTTAAATATATATTATTCAGAAGTTCCCAGAAATTACCTGAATCACAGGTTACTGATTGAGACACACCAGACAATACAAACCAAACACTGCCTCACAGTTCTTTTTTTAATCTAGTTTCAATCTTGCTTATTCTTTACACCCCTCAACTATGCATCATCTTTTTTTAACATAACAACATGATTTTGGTTGTCAGTGGCAATATCATGAAATCTCTGATTCTCTATATCTGATTAAACTCCGTGGTGGTCATGGTAGACAGGGTTCATGTTGTTTAACAAGCTCTCAATCTCCACAACGCAAATATGAAAAAAATATAACACTTTCATGGTGGCCTGACATTTTACAGCTTAAATTACGGCATTATGAAAGTTTTAATGCTCCAGCATTTGAGAGTAAAATACGTAAAATTTATAGCAAAATTTGATATCTTAGGCATTCCATATATCCAGACATGAATATTACTGCTTTTATTTTCAAGGACTGTTTTGCTTGGCGGTGGAAATAGCTGCAAGAGCAGCTGCCTTTGCCTCCACTTGTCTACGTCTCATTATGAGTTCAGTAAATCAGTGTGGCACCGACTGATGCAGTCCTAGATAGATACTAGGAAAACTTTGTTATGACATCCCTAGAGCTGCAGTACCTACGCACACTTAGTAGAGCCCCTGCGCAAACAACAACCACACAACAACCCAATAAATGTCACATCATCATCATCATCATCATCATCATCATCATCATCATCATCATCATCATCATCCGTTTATTTGCCAAGTGCCCTGCGGCCATTTTGGCAGAGCGACAGCAACTTGCTCCGTTTCAATGCGTCTGCGGCTTGGCTCAATGTTAACCCGTGTGCATGTCATTGTGAAGCGGGGGGGGGGGGGAAGACTGTCCCAGGGAGACAGGGGAGAAGATAAAAGTCAGATTAGTCTATTGTAGTAGGCAAGTGTAAGGTGTCCTTTGACTCTGAACCGCAGAGCCCAGGTGGGCTTCTGTGGGGAAACTTAGCCTTTTTTTATTTGTGTAGTCTGCCCATGTTGATGTGTCAACACTGTGTGTGTGTGTGTGTGTGTGTGTGTGTGT